GAATTTTTTCCTTGACTTATTCCTTTCTTTACCTAAAATGGCCGATCCACAAAAGGAAACACCCACTGAGCTGATTGTCTTTTGGTTTCGGGTTTGTAGCAATATATCCAGCTTTCGTCACCTGTGACGATGTCAAATACAGCCAATCATAGCTTTGTTGTTGAGTAAGCCTACAACGAAAGTCATAATAAATCATTGACCAACACTTTTCTCGCGTTAGGTTCATTTTCACGTGTAAGAAGAGTTTTAGATTTGCCGCCAATTCACAAAAACAAATGACAAATGAGTGCAATATACTACATTAGGTCACCAAAAATTTAAAGAGTTCAAAAATTTAAATTAAAAAATGTTTTCATTAGCAATGTTTCTAACTGGCCAGTTCTAAACATTTTCAGTGTTACCCACGTATTTTGAATTTAAATAGTAATGACTTAACGGGCTTGTTGTGACGATCGAGGTTTCCAAGATTTTTCTATAATTACAAAGAGGCATTATTATATGTTAGAATCGCTGTAATTTAAAAAGAGAGGGAACAGCACACATACCGATAGAATCAAGTCAATATATGGTAAGTATGAAGACGTAGCAATACCATGATGTATAAATAAAGAATGTAAACTATCTTATATATAAAATTCTCGTGTCACAATGTTAGTACCATACTCCTCCGGAACGGCTTGACCGATTTTTATCAAATTTTATATGCAAATTCAGTAGGTCTGAGAATCGGCTACTATCTATCTTTCAACCCCCCTAAGTGATAAGGGGTGTCCAGCCCAAAAATTATTTGTTTTTATTTTTTTATGATACAGCATACAAAAATAGGGGTTATATACCCCTAATTTTCACCCCTATTTTTTATTATTGTAGATAGCTATTTTTATTAAAAAAAAAAAATTTGTCCTAGAAATATTATACATCGCAAAACAAAGTTTGCCGTGTCAGCTAGTAATATATAAAATAAATTTACTAGAGTCGCTGTTATATTTTAGGAACAGATTTGTGTATGTTGTATAGACATTTTAAAACGTAGAATTAATATGAATTCGAAATAAATTACGTTAACCGAGTGGACTCGAACGGATCCTAATTAACGAGAACTATACGCTCGTGCATTTACCGATTAAATTGCGTATACATAGAATAGCAAAAAGAGGATATTAATCACATAATTAACATTTATTTTAGCCTTTTCGATAATTATTTTGTCTCTTTCCGTCAAATTTTGTAAACGTTGTGATAAAAAGAGATAGATGTGTAATTTAGTTAAAACTATGCATTTAGACTGATTTAGTTTTTATGAATTAAGGGCTAAGGTTATATATCAAGAGATATAAGCCTGCCTTAATGAGGTATTGAGGAACAGAATAGTCACAAGTATTACCTGTTCGTTTGGTTGATGTTATTGAAAACAGGAGAACATACTCATATTTTGGCTTTACAAACTCAGTGTAAGGAAAATCACGTAACCTTGCAACAGTCCAAAGATACTGTATACAAATTATCCAGTTTTATTCCACTTGCCTTGCACCTCTCTAAATGTTAAGCAGCAAAAAACACAGTATTGCAATTTCACCAATTACGGCTGTATTTTCAAAATACCAATATAATTGCTAGGTGAGATAAAATATTCTACATAAAGAACATTTGATGGTTGGTATTTATAAAACTCATATAAAAATCCACGTATTTCGCCCGGAAGCTGGGCCGTCAAAGGAATGTTTGATAACCGTAGTGAATTGTATTTATATAGCAACTTGAAATTCACAGTTTTAAACTGTATCCCATTTATCGTTCATGTTTTTATTAACAGTTATAAAATTTTGCGATGCAATTTTATTGACACTGAATTGATTTGTCAATGAATTAAAGAAAAATAAACAATATCTGTGAATCGAATCGAAACGAACTAAAATTAAACTCCATGGTCTCATGTCACGGAAAAGTTTTGATAATAAGATAATACGGTGAAATATTAAATTTGCCGTATCGTTAGTAATTTAAATTCTCCTTATCCAATAAAGAATACTCGACACTAATTAATAAAAATGTGTAATTTTAAGAAAATTTGATATATATAAGTTAGCTTGCTAAACCATTGGGGAGGTGTTTTTCTTCGATAAATAATTTGAATTTATGTCAATAACATTTAAGTTATATAATTTATAACACGATCCAAACGTCATATTGATGAAACATAATACGCATCTCATTGTTTAATATTTCACTCTTCTTAATTAAACTATTTCAAATGCGAAAATGAAATAAGTTTATCTCAAAACAAGCCCTGGTGTTAGATTAACACGAATGAGTACGTCAGTATAATAATTTCATTTAAATATATTAGTAAAGAGAACTTTAGAGTTGCAACTATCCAATAACATACCTAAGTACCATAAGTATCTACATGATAAAGACGGACATGGGGTTATAAAATGCACTTCTATCTCTAAAATTATAGAGGTATTTGTATTTGTAAGTTGGTTTGCACGTTGGAAGCAAAAACAACTAGTGGACCGGATACAAATCCTTTCACCATTGGGATGCTACATTATTCCTAATATAATGGCTGTATTTATTTACAAAATATTTTAAATCATTCGAAGCCGGAGAGGTCGCTAGTTATACACGTAAGACGTAGAGTAATTGTGATAAATAAAAACAAATGAGATATCGGATAGTAATAAACGTTTCATTACAGAAGTGAAACTTATTCAATCCGCTCCATAGTGACCATTTTAACATTGAAACCGTGCACTTATCCGACTTAGGTAGATGGAATGGAACAGTATCTGCAATATTGCTGGTCTCTATTCAGGCACGTTTTACCAATGAATGCTGTAACGGAAAGCGTTTAGTATTGATTTAGATATAACACTCCAAGAGATCTTCAAACAATTTTACGCACATATTATTGGAGGTTTTTTGTTCTTTGGTTACTGTATTTAAAAAGTTAGAGATTTTTATAGATTCCATAATAAATATATATTATATATATATATATAGATTCCATAATGTAAATAGGTTTATATTATTCAAATGGTATGGAAACGGCTATGGCTATTTCATATTTTTCCCCCACATTATACTTTAGCAATATGCCTGCTTAATGCTAAATAAGAAAAAAATACTTTTTCTAATACACAACTAATTCTAATACAGGTCTGAAGTAAAGTCAGCTTTTAGATTATTTACTATTATTTTAATGAAACACTGAATAGAAAAACTGTATATTAAAGTTTTGTGTCCCTAATTGTTTTTATTATATATTAATATTTTTGGTGCGTGTATTCATAATTTTGACAAAAATTGTTTTGTTCGAAAAAAATGTTCGTATATTCTCGGACGCACCAAGCATTTAAGAATGGTTTAGATTTAGAATTACTTAGATGATTTTTTGCATTCAACACGTGTGTACTACTACGTCGAATCTATTAGTATATTTATGTATATTCTCTATTTAATCTATTTAGTTATATATTGTCTATCGTCTTCCACATAAACTATAAATTGTTAATATGAGTAATACTTATCGAAGACTTATTCATCCCAGTCATTCCACTCATTACCAGTACCACTACAACTTCTAGGTCTGAGCATCAGATTTCTGTATCTGTTCCATGATCTTTTCTAATAGATATTAATAAGCAAGTAGGTGATCAACCTTCTGCGCCTGACACACACCATCGAGTTGTTGACTAAGGCATGCCGGTTTCCTCACCATGTTTTCCTTCAGGGAAATTAGCGAATGTGTTGAATACGCCGACAAAGTCACACAGGCAGGGGCGAACCTACGACCCCAGAGATTAGAGTCGCACGCTGAAGCCACTAGGCCAACACTGCTCATCGTAAGGTAAACAAAAAATGCCATTTTATAGTTTACCCTTGGGTTTTATTTCCTTTAAAACATTATAAAAAGAAATAAAAAACGATTGAGCATATATACGTATATATCTTTAAGAGGGTTAATAATTATTTAATAATTAAAAAACAATAGATATTTAAAAAGTCATGTAATATGTAGCATTAAAATGACCACATACGTCAAAGTTACTAGTAAGAGAGGAAATATTAGATTTTAGAATTCTCCATTTAATAAATTGAATAGTGAGCAGAATTGTATGTATACGGCGCTACTTAAACAATTTGATATGTATCATAACTTTAAGGCGGTAGCGAAGCGCTACGATAAAACTATGACTATAGAGACGTAGACTAGAGAGACGAACTAAAGTGATTTAAACATTATATATACGTCTACGACTCATCTAAAATGGATCTACAAAGGATGGTTATACATAGTTCGACGTAGCGTAGCCGTTATTTGCTACGATTCTAAACAATACTATTATTGCCCTATAGCTTTTTGATACGAATGATGAATGCCTTATACGTTATTCATCGAAAGTTAAAATCTCTTACATTAAATATTTTTTGCGAGAACCCGGTTATGAGAGGCGTGTTTAATATTCATATTTCATGTATTAAAAGTAAAAACTGCGATTACATATTTAGGTTACACATAATTAGGTATATTAATTTAGTTCGTAATAATTACTGCTCTCAAATTGATTGATGAGTGACTGACTTTGAAGTATGATTAAAATCGATTTACTCATAAAAGTTGTTATATAGAAGGCCCAAGTGTCGATGAGGATATGATATACTTATGATCGGTGTCTTTGTCTAAACTCCGATAGATTTTATGAATTGGGAGGCTATTTATATTTGTCATTTTTATTATTACAAATTATCTCGCGCGCGCGTAGCGTAAGCAATTAATTTAAGAAAAACGTATGAAATTCGCAAGCAAATAGCACTCGCCAAGATGGATGATAATTAATAAAACTTTATGAACTACTCATACTACTTTGAATTCAATACCATTTCTTAGTTACTTTCTCCATGAGGCAGGACAGGCATCGGCATCCATTGTTTCGTCTAAGAGAGCTTCGTAACATAAACATACTTATTAATCACGTTCGAAGTTTCTTCACAGCTTATGTGGCTGGTCCCATAGTTGTGCGGCGCGCCAGGGTATTGACAATAAAAATAATGAAGGTGTGCTTACCGTTGTAGAGTAGCGTCGGTTCTGGATCGCGAGGTGAAGGGCCCGGCGCGGTGGCGGCGGGTGCGGGGCTCCGGCCGCGCCCCTCGCCGACCACGTCGATCTCCTCATCAGACTCAACCAGTTCCCCCGCTGGAGCCACCTTCCACTTCTTGGCCATGAGGCAGCGCGGCATGGCGGAGCCTGCATCGGCCTCAGCGCGACCGCATCAGCGAGAAACAGACGAACAGAGAAAAAGAGAGAAAGAGAGAGAGCGGCGCCCCAGGCGAGCGGCGTTATAGGCGTTCGCACGCGTTCTTCTTGCGTTGTGAGGGTCGACCGTACGATACGTGATATATATTGAGCATGGGGTGGTGCGCGCGCCGCGCCTTCGATCGGTATGGGTGGCGGGTGTCGGGTGGCGGGTGGCTCGCACTATGCCGCACAAACTTTACCCGCCGACAACTTGCAGCGCCACTTGCGGAGCAACGCGCCACGACCTCGCGACCACGCTTGCGATCAACCAGTGGAAGCGTTGCGCTGCGCTACCTACTCAGACATTATTGTTGGCTTCATTGACTGTATCAAACTGCATTGGAGAGGATCATTGTATCTTGTTCTCATTTAAATATTTAATTTCTTTCTCGGTTTATAGTATGTTATATATATATATATAGCTGGCGGGTTGTACTCGAAACTTCGGTTTATGGAAATAATTGAACTAATTCGCAGTAATATTTTTAAAGTTCCTTTTATTAAATTAAGGTTTATCTTCAGAATGTTTATGAATATTTATGTGTTACAGGAAGTTATAATACTGTACAATATCATCTCCATTTTGAGAAATACTGATTCGTTCTTACGTAATAGCTTAGAAATCATAATTGAAACAATTAATTATTCACAATCAAATGTTTTATACAGAAATAACAATTAGATACAGAATTTAAGTTCTAAGTACCCCATTACAGTCTTGGCTTTCTCCCTCAAAAGTCTCGGAGAAACTAAGATTATTTTTAAGATCGGTATTTATGTCAGTAGAACCTCACGTTAATGCTTGCGTATTCCAAATATTGTATTTTGTATACATTTGCCTTATAGGTTCAAGTTAATATAGTATATATATATAGCCGAGGGGGCTACAACCATAACAAATAATAGGATAGATCGATTGGACTAGTGAAATTATAAATAATAATATATTTATTCAATTAATTCTTAATCTAAGCTAACTAACATCGACCCTCTACTGCTTCATTTAAAATAATTTAAAACAACTATTAATGTCCTAATCCTTGTATCTTTCCTTATTATATCTTCTTTATTATTAGCTACCAGTATGTTTGTCGTTCTCCGGATTTATAAATTTAGTGCTGTCATGTTATGTTTTGTTTTGTTCTGTATCATATTTTTTATCAGTGAAACTTTTTGTGGATACATCCAATGTGTATATTTTATGTTTTATTTTTAAATTGCTTTATTGTATAGAGTTATATGTATCAGTTTTGTTTCCCAAATAAATAAATAAGCTTATGAACCTTCAATTTATATTTCTCGTTAAAGGCAACTATATCAGCAGTCGACTTTTCGTCTAAGTCACAGTACTCATTAATTGCGAACATAAAACATTTTGTTCCCGAACATTTAGCGTTCAAACGCGCTTTTAGAATCGGATTGAGCTTTGTAGATTATCCAATAAGCTAATATTCATAAAATCCATAATAGACTGTCAATAATAGAATCCTAAAGATAATGATAAAATTAAAGCAAAAACAAAAAACAATTAATCTTTCTTTACTTTACTTAACTGATAATACTGTTGAACAGTTTCAGACACTAAAATTGACAAACGAATTTCAGTGGCACAAAGGACTGCACTCAAATTACTACCAAATACAAGTCTGCTAAAGCATTTCTCTTTAGAAGATATTACCAACTATTGACGTCCACCTTCCTTAACCTTTATGTTACTTGCATAATACTATAACAGCTATTTAACGTAGATATTATTATTCTCCTTTGAACCAGGCAAACAAATGAAATAACTTACTACTTTGATACGTAGCTAGCCAAAATTCTTAACAACTCATTGCTTATTCTCTTATTATAGAATCGAAATAAGTAAGATTCACAATATAGATATAGAATTTCTGAACGTTCCTAAAGATACTCATTATATGGAATTCTCAAGTTTAAGTTGCAATGATTTGAGGAAATCGTACAGTTTTCTCGACGATAACTACGAACGATGAATTTTTCGTAGATCCATCAGATCTAGAACCTGAAGTTTCCGCTTCGACGTTCTCACACTTTACCGCTTCAAAGATCTTCTTACAAACATTATTATATAAAACAGATTGCCCGAAAAGAATTAAAATTTTCTGTTATGTCCTTACAGATCCTTGAAGCCAAACATGTTATTAAAGGAATGAAATTGTCTCCATCGCTATACTTCGATAAAGAATCTAAGTATATAAAAAAATTACCTCAAGGTACTTAAAACCAAATCGGGATACTTAAAATAGACCTAATTTTTAGTTTCAAGAAAGTTCTTCTAGATATTTTCTGTTTAAGTGTTGCTATGATTTAAAGACTAGATTGAGTCAAAAATTACGGGTAATGTTTAGGATATAAAATAAAGCCATTGGGAATCCTCAATAAACCCACCCCGCCTGAAAAGTTAAATCAATAAGACTATACCGGCGAAACTAATTTGTTAGTTGGATGCTACGTAAATAACGTATGTGCTCCGTTCACATGATTTTACGAAGTTGGAATGTTTTTCAAAACAAACTACAAAATTCATGTAACATACGAATAGTTTGACAAATTTGTAAATAAAACGTGATTATCAAATAATATATGATAAACAAAATATTTATCCGATATATTTCATAAATCACATGGTTGCTTGAAAATAATAATATGCCTTACTTTTGTTTATGCTAAGCAAGTTTAATACTTAATTTTTTATAACTTTATCTTCGGACGCTAAGTGTTGTTGTTTTACTAAATTTGAATTGTTTAATATCTAAACCATGTTATTGGGTTCGTTCCTAGTTTAATTATAAATAATTAAACTATATATATATTGTTGTATTCAATTCATCCAATCAATTCAAATCAATCAAAATCATTTATTCATATAGGTACAATGTACACTTATGAACGTCAAAAAAGAAATACATATTAAATGTTTCTAATTTTACATTTACTGCCAGTTCTCAAAGCAAGGGCCTAGAACGGAAGAGAAGAACTGGCAATAAACTCTCCGCCACTCTTTCAAATCTCTAAGTTTTTGGAGTTTACTCCTTAAGAAACGATTTGAGTTATAAGGCCCGGTACGGAAATTTTATAAGGAGTAAAATCAAGTGTAACACGAAAAGTTGAGGCGTTATGTGTAACACGAAAAGTTGAGGCGTTATGTAGAAAGAGACAAACATATAGAGTTTACTCCTTAAGAAACGATTTGAGTTATAAGGCCCGGTACGGAAATTTTATGAGGAGTAAAATCAAGTGTAACACGAAAAGTTAGGCGTTATGTAGAAACACGAAAAGTTGAGGCGTTATGTAGAAAGAGACAAACATATATATCTGTAGGATTGAAAGTGTAAAAGAATGAGATGGAATACATTACACAGACTTTTCTATTTTGAATTCACGTTTTGACAGCCACGTTACAACATTGTCAGTGTTGACAGGTGTAAAAAATAAAAGTAGATTGTCTAGCGTGCCATAGAGTTTTGTCAATAGTAATGATCAGTGAAATTAAAACTAAAAAGATTGTTCATTCTTATTCTTCTCTTACTATAAAGGTAACTATAACTATTAATATATTACTATAGAGGTCACAGAAAGAAAATCCTATTTGGGCATAGATGATGTAGGTACGTTTTATTACTACTGCAAACATTTATATTATAAAAACATATATTCTTACCACCTTTAGTATGAAAATATGGTCGACAGCTACAGAACATTATCGCCATTTTATCCTTCGTAAGGAGTAAACTCCAATCGTGCGTCGTAGCTGACACACACACATTTTTTTGTGTTACATAATGTTTGTAAGGAGCTGCAACCATTAATTGTTGTCATGTTCCACATGACATCTTAAGTAATTAATAGTTAATTAATGATAATAAAATAAATTAAAAACGAAGATTTATCCTCTATCAGCAGGAGGCATGGTAAAATAGGAGGCACGCAAAGCGCACCTATATTCTCGTGGGAATAACTCGCAAATACACAGTCGAAAGTCAAAAATCATTTAATCATATAGGTAACACAATGTACACTTTTCAACGTGAATAAAGAAATACATATTAATGCTTCTAATTTTACATTTCTCGCAGTTTTCAAATCAAGGGCGTAGAACGGAAGAGAAGAACTGTTGAATGTTTTGTCGTTGTACCTCACGTCTTACTTTGTAAATAATAAAGAGAATCAGCCATTAATTCACGGGTACAGAAAATACCATATATACACTGATGGACTGCATCATAGTAAAAAACGACTTTGAAATAAATATTTTAACCAAGTATGCAAACTTTCTACATAGATTTAAATTGAAACGTCTAGATTAGTTCGTTAACTTTAAACAGTGTAGGGACATATCCTTAAGTTTAAGTTTGTGTACTGGAAAGGACCTTATAACTTTTTTGAAGAAAAACAGAAATTTAAAGAAAATTTGTTTAATTAAAAAATTGGTTTTAACGATAGACACAAGCTTTATGCAAGGTTTTTTTTATGTTTTAATAAGGTGTATAACCTCCACGTGCCCTTATTATGAATCCTATTCGGTTTCGCATAGATTTGATTAGAGTTATTAAAACATCTTGCGGAATATTGTCCCATTCTTCTGAAAGTGCTGTTCTTAGTTGTGCCACTGTCGTAGGTACAGGATTTTTCGCATATACAGCTCTTTTTAAATTGTCCCAAAGATGCTCAATGGGATTAAGATCCGGGCTGCGTGCTGGCCAATTCATTGTACGTATCCCAACCTCTTCGCAATATTGTCGACCTTATGCAGCAGCGTGCGGCCGGGCATTATCCTTCATTAAAGTAAAATTTTCGCCTATAAATCCCATGTAAGGCACCATGTGATCTTCTAAGATCTCTGTTATGTAGCGATGTGCAGGCAAACCCCCCTCAACTACCGTTTAGACGGACCATGTCTATGAACACAAGTTCTGT